TGCACTTCAAAAATATATTCGAGATGGCAGAGATTCAATAAATATGCGAAAATCAAGATGGACAAGTCCTACTTCACGCGCTTATACGTGCGACGGCAAATGACATCCTCGACTTTAATAACCTAAAATAGAAAAAGAAAAATGTTTGCAATAAGGGCATATGATTTCTATTTTCTTAGAGGTCCTGAGTACTTTAAGGGAGCAAAATGCAAAGACGAGGAGAACGCGGTGGGTGAACTTACTACTAATGAGCAATCCCGAAGGAAGTTGGAAATGGGCTCGATTTTAAAAAAAAACCATTTGATAAACATGCCTCGGGGACTACGAATGACAGCAAGGCCTAACATTTGAGCCCGGTTCAACGTGTTCTCATACTCCAGATTATTAAATGTTTATGGGTATGCGAGCGCCTGAGCACTAAAAACAGAGTCTTCGTTATAAAGTGGAAGATTCGTCCTTTGGGCAATGAGGCTAGATAGGTAGACCTGACCCCTAAGTGTTTTATAACAAGAGACGCAAAAAGAAACGGAAGCGTTTACCTTAAGCCAGCGGTCTTAAGAGCCCGGAAAGAATACGAGCAAGTGCCAGAAAATAAATTATATTGATTTAACTTTTTTTAATTTAAAATTACATCTTAAAAACACTGATCCACTCCCAAATACTGTCAATTAGATAACATACACTTATACCGACATTTTTTTAAATATTCTTCTGTAAGTGCCTCTAGCTAGTAGTTCTTAACGTCTTTTGCAATTTTTAAAACGCTCTCCCTTTAAATTTCTCTGCATTTTTTTTAAAATATGAAGTTGCATGGGAAAGTGAGAAGCCGTCGTCGTGCCGTTTCTTTCCAAAAACTGGTTGATCTTGAACGCCACATCGACCAACACTTTTTGGTAATGTTGAAGTATTCAGTCACAATTCAAATCGTTTTTCTCTCTCTCTCAATCGCAATCGCTTCAGCATTTTTAGATATAAATGTCGGTTCATTGTGGTGTCATGAGAAGCAAACTCAACATGAGCCATTCCTGTAGTGTCAAAAAACAAAATCTAATGTTGGCACGTTGCTCCCTGAAGTCTACCCTCGCAAAATCGTCGAGAGCGTTGGGAGGGGTTAAATAAAACAGGCAGTCTGGTCGTTGTGGTGGTTTTCTATGCACGCTATTTGGCGAGAAGAGTGTCGAGTAAACGCACCTAACGGGAGAGGGTAGCATTGCTAATCCACATACTGTCTTTTTTGGCTACCCCCACGCAAAAGGAAAATAAATGAGTATTGGTAAACAAAGATAATTAAAGCCCTCAAACCAATCAGATAAGCAAGATGCTTAAGACCCTAAAAAAAAGCAGGGATGCCATAATCTCCACTTACAACATTCAGGGTTTCGTCATTGACCTCCCACGTACCGTTTATCTCC